ACACAGTCCTGGTGAAGCTCTCGTGCCGAGCTGCTGAATAGCAGCACCTGATGAAGAAGGAGACAACCAATCCAGTACTTCGAAGAAGACAAAAAAACGAAGTTCCTCTTGAGGAGGAACAGCGGATATGGCTGCCAATTGAAGAAAGGCAGCGCCCAAACGCAACAACACAGTCCTGGTGAAGCTCTCGTGCAGAGCTGCTGAATAGCAGCAGTGCAATCTCCAACCTCGTATCCCAGCCCCAGCTATGGCTGGGCTTCGAGGAAGAAGATGCCCTTGCCCAAAATAACGCAGCTACGCAACGGCAACGATCGGCAGAGTTTCCCCAGTCGAGCAAACAAGAAAAGACCCGTACTAATTTTCCTGCCCACTAATTCTACACTCCGCCTAGACCTACGACGGACCCCTCAAGCAACAACCCAAGACTCACCTGTACCTAGACGGAAACAGGGGAAAAGGGGACCTAGACCTATGACAAAGCAAAAGGAGAAGGCGGAATGGCCTAGGACTACCAAACAGAGACTACTAGTAGCAGACTCAGGGATGAAGTCCCATACGGCTCAACACTCACAAACAAAACACACAGATTACAGGTTATGGGATCAAGTCCCGCAAGGCTCAAAACAGGCAAACAGCAAACAAACAGGCAACACAGCAGACAAAGGTTGCGGGATCAAAATTAGTGTACAGCCCGCTTGTAGCACTGCAATTCATTGCAGGGCTAGAGGAGGCCACGGAGGCCGAAATCATGAAGCAGCGGGTAGGGTAGCATATAGGACAAAAAGATAGTGGCCTTTCTTTTTTGTTTTAGGTCGTACCTTTGATGCTGGTAGCCCGGACTTGAATTTCATGAATGTATCTAAGGGACACTGGACCCGGTTTCCAGCAGGTGCTGCTCCCCACCAATAGATGGAGTCTCCCTGAGAGTGCTCGAGGAGCCTGCTCCTATCAGCACCCCTAGCACCAGGTCGGGTTGTTCTATGTGTAAAAAAAAAAAAAGGAAAAAAAAAGAAAAAGGACGGGTAGTAAGTTAGTGACTTCGAAATCCGGTAGGCTTAGAGTTGGGTACGAGTCAGGTAGGCGAGGGTCTAGAGCCTGCAGGAGAGGATGTCAGAGTGCAATGATGTTCACGCCAAAAGCGGGGAGGCAACCGGTAGGCCAAGAGGCCGGGCACCCTGGAAAGTGCCCTCGGGGTAGTGCTGCGTCGGGATAAGTACAGAGGCGGCGAATTGCTCCGCCTCATGCTTCAAGTAGCGAGCTGTGAGGCTGCCGGTGCGCTTGCCAGTCTGGTGATGAACTGGTTGAAGCAGGACGGCGGAGATTGGTCCCCATGTCGGCTATGGTGGAGGAGACCAAGGCCGGGAAGGAGGAAGACATGGCTACGGAGGAGTGAGGAAGGAGGAATAATGCACTGGTTGGAGCAGGACGGCAGAGATTGGTCCCCACCTCGGCTATGGTGGAGGAGACCAAAGGCCCGGAAGGAGGAAGACGTGGCTATGGAGGAGTGAGGAAGGAGGGAGGAGGAAAAGAGAAGGAGGAAGGAGGAGGAGGAGAAGAAGGAGGAGAGTGAAGAAGGAGCTCACCTTGGCTATTGCCGTCTGCATGTGCATCTTCTTGGTTGGCGGTGCACCTGAAAGGCCCCAAGTGGGGTGATACTTGGAAGGAAGACTCCGGGGGTAGATTGCGGCACGGCGGCGATGGTGCGAGAGGCAGAGAAGCTTTCAGTTGATCTCTGAACAGCGGAGCTAGGCTCTGATGGTCTGCCACAGCCACCGGCTTAGACAAGTAGGGGGAGAAGGTGAAGGCTGGCTATGGGACAGAAGGTTAACCGACCCCCAAATTTTCACCCCCATTTATAAGAAAACTAAGGGGCCATTTTAACCATATTTCACACCAATCTATAGAGTGCACTTCTTACTAACTTACTGTTAAAAAAAAAACAAAAAAAAAAATTAAAAACATATAAAACAGCAAGCCAAAAGTGCACTTTCATGAAATTTCACCAACATTTCAATTTGTCAGTTTTCACAATTTTCACCACTCCCCAAAACAACCATCTGTGGGCTATGGTGGACTTCTTGATTGGCTGGCAGTAAGGGGAGGATTCGGACATTGATTCTCGTTCATTCATTCATTCATTGTTGTTGTGGATTGTTTTTAGTAATGAGATGTTGGGGGAGATGCTGGAGGAGGGAGTCGATAGCGAGATGATGGGAGAAGTGACATTGGCTTTTGCGTGTGTTCATCATCATCTTCTTCTTTTTCTTCCTCTTCCATCATGCTCATTTCTTCTTCCTCCTTTGTCTATTCCTGTTTCCAAGTTCTTTCATTTCAGTTGCAATTGAACGGCTTGTTGCACTTTGAGATATCCGACGATCATAACACATGTAGAAAATAAAATAAATAATAAAATAAAAAAGGAATCATAACACATGTCTGTTTCAGACTATGCATTAGAGCAAACTCGCACATGGACCTCCTTTCCTGAATCCGGCTGTAACTGCAGTCAGATACATTCAGGAAAGTTGAAGTGCGAGTAGCAAGTACAATTTTCCTTCCACTGTGTCATCTGCCTCCTCCTCGTCCTCCACACCCATCCTACCGTCTTCACCCAAACAGAATGCCTGGTCATTATAGCTGTATTTGGTGAAACTTTCACTCGAGATACGGCGATAATTACCAGGCGTTCTATTCGGGTGAAGACGGTAGTTTCTCTTATTGGTTCATTCATTCCCTTTCTCTGCGTTGTCCATCTCCTTTTCTGTACAATGACATATAAATTTATTAGATCTGAAATATTAAATTTCTCATTTACATGTGCAATGATTTGTAAAATTCACATTTGCATGTACAATGTACATCCACATTTTCTGATGATTTTCATGTAAATCCACCTTATATATAACAGTTTGTCACAGCCCCTCGTTTGTTGTCCTCTTCTCTCTCTCTGCCTACGGTTTACCGGGCAGTTCTGTTTGTGACGATATATATATATATATATATATATATATATATATATGATGAGTCGGTGAAACTCCGACGAAACAGTTTGTCACAGCCCCTCGTTCGTTGTCCTTTTCTCTCTCCTTGCCAACGGTTTACCGGGCAGTTCTTTTTGTGACGATATTCAGCCTCCTGATGAGTCGGTGAAACTCCGACGAAACAGTTTGTCACAGCCCCTCGTTTGTTGTCCTCTTCTCTCTCTCTGCCTACGGTTTTACCGGGCAGTTCTGTTTGTGACGATATATAATATATATATATATTAAACCCACATTTTCATGTAAAATGACTTATAATGTGTATTGATGTTCTTGGGGACATCGTCCTTATCATTTTCTGGCATTCACTTCGATCTGCGAATCATATACCTCTTTCTTTTTTTCTTTTTCTTTTTTTGCGAATCATATACCTCAAATTGAAAGCTGAAATATTTTTTAGACCCACTTATTTTGTTACTAACATTCCCTTTTGCGTCCACCTTTTTTTTTTTTAGGGGTAACTAAGCCGTAACTTCAGTAGAGTCACAAAAACGAGTTATAATTGCACTATGGGGCAAGATACAGTTTGCAATTGCACTTTGGGCACCGTACCTGGCCAGAAAGCTGGGTTGTATACATTGCCCGAACTGCAATTCGAAACTGTATCTTGGCCCGTACTGCAATTATAACTCACTTTTGTGACTCCCCCAGGTAGTTTCCCTTTTTTTTTTTTTTAACTAAGCTATATTCCACCTTTTCCCGTGTGCTTGACTGTACTCTAATGGTGCCGCCATTGCTGCTGATTTTTTAATTCCGAAAATGAAACAACTTCTTGATTCTTCCCACAGGTATATCGGGAGATGCGGCGACGCTTTCAAAGGTAACATTTTTTATTTTTTTTTAAGGTAACAACTTCGGCCTCTGTAGGGTCTGGGGGGAAAAAAAAAAAAAAAAAAAAA